ATGCTCATTTTGTATCCGTATATTTATTTGCTGAAGTGTCTGTTTAAACCCTTTGCTCTCTCTCTCTTTTTTAATCTGGTTGTTTTCTTATTGAGTTTTGAGAGTTCTTTATATATTCTGGATATAGGTCTTATATCAGATATATTATTTACAAACACTGAGTTCCATCTTATTGTTTTCTCTTATGGATTGTGCCTTTGATGTTGCATTTAAGAAATATTTGTTTAACTCAAAGAATAAGGTCTGAAAGATTTTTTTCCTATGTTATTTTTTAGAAGTTCTATAGTTTTAGGTTTTTATACTAAATCTGTGATCTATTTTAAGTTAATTTTTATATATGCTGAAAGGTATGGATCAAAGTAGTTTTTTCTTTTTGTATATAGATATTCAAAAGTTCTAGAACATTTGTTGAAAAGGTCATCCTTTCTCTATTGAATTGCCTCTGAGCCTCTGTCAAAAATCAGTTGCTTGTACACATGTGAGTCTATTTCTGGACTATCTGTAATTTGTTTCACTGATTTGTCTATCTTTATGCCAATACACTGCTGTCTTGACTATCATAGTTTTATAATGCCTTAAAATCAGATAATATTTATTCTCCAACTTTGTTTTTCTTCTTTAGTTGGTTACCCAGGTATTATGGCAAAGAATAGCTATTTTTTAAAATGTCTCTCAGTTATTCTAGTCTGTCCTGAGAACATGGAGTTTTAAGTCCAATTCAAGATTGTTCTGTGAGGGATGTGCTCATAGTTAATATATGTGAAGCTTTATTACTAATTATCTTGGACTTTGTTCCAATTATTGTGGCTGGAACCCATATTAGTCCAGTTCTTGGCAAACACTAACTATCACAGTATACATAAGTGAAAAGTAAGTGCTGGGAATAACTTCCAAAAGATTACCTTTGTCTTTTGAGTCCTTGATGCATCTAGAAAGAAGCTTGAGTGAGTTTTCATGTAAAACTCTTTTAAAAATGCAGCAGGACTGAGAGCTATTGTGTAACATTGAATGACATGTTGATAGATGAGAAACATACATAATTTTATTATCCAATTTTCTGTAACAATTTTCAGTACATTTTATAGATGAGAAAACTGAGGTTAACACTGAGTATGTTCAATAAAGTCACCCAGCAAATGAAGCTTAAAGGATTCAAACTCAGGTTTGTCTGACTTCAAAATCCCTGCTTTTGACTACTTTGCTGTATTTCTTCAATAAAGTTTCTTAGAAAATCATAAATTCAGTTTTTTTCTTGTACATCTATAGCATAAATTATATTATAAATATCTGACTCAGAGTTGTGATTAAAGAAATAAGGGAAGGCTGGACGTGGTGGCTCACTCACACCTGTAGTCCCAGCACTCTGGGAGGTGGAGGTGAAAGGATCCCTTGAGATTAGGAGTTCGAGGCTGGTCTCAGCAAGTGCAAGACCCCATCTCTACTAAAAATAGAAAAAAAAAATTAGCTGGGTATGGTGGTATTCGCCTATAGTCCTAGCTACTTGGGAGGCTGAGGCAGGAGGATTGCTTGAGCCCAGGAGTTTCAGGTTGCTGTGAGCTAGGCTGACACCATGACACTCTACCCAAGGTGACAGAGTAAGACTCTGTCTCAAAAAAAAGAAAAAAGAAATAAGGCAATCAGAAACATTTATATGCTGTTTGCGAAGGAGTTTACCATAGCCCATTAATATTATCTTACAAAATCACAAAATCAATAAGGATTCTTGATCAGGGTTTCACTATCATGTATCTTAGAGTTGACTTTGTTAGATTATACACTGTCGCTTGATATGTGCTTTATTTTTTCTAGTCTTTGCAGTAGCCAAAATCCAAGCCACTAGTCAGAGCTTTTACTCAATGTTTTCCTGAGAATAATTCCCAGATGTGCTGCATGTACAATGGCCAAGATAACCTGATGACTAGTTTCTGGAATAATACTCTGTTTGCAATAAAATGCGTTCCTATGGGCATGTAGTTTACTCCCTACACACCTAATTTAAGACATAGATGAACCAACATCACAGCTCTAGTGGGAACACTACAACTGGTTTTGGTATCTAAGTGGCAGATGGCTCTGGACATCACCATTGGCTATTGCTCTTCCAGGCTTATAAACAAGTTACAAGAACTGAGCAAAAAAAAAAAAAAATGACACTTCTGCATACATGATGACATAATTATGGGTGTACACTTAATCTTAGAGAAGAATCCCAAAAGAGCTAGTATCAGTGCAAACCGTAAAGACACACCATTAGAGTATTTTTAGGTTTCCTTTACTCTCATAGTAAATGCAAAAAACTCAGTATCATTTGACAGTAATTCAATTATTTTGAGAACTTTCTGCTTTTCTTAGGCAACTATTCTTTAGTCCTACCTGGCACTTTAAGCCTGAGAAACCCTCCAGGCTTCATCCACTGAAAAACAGTGGTTTGCATTCAGTGTAGCATACTGATGCAAATCAAGAAGTTAATAATACTTTGACATTCTGAAAAGTGTTTTCCCACCAGATAGCTCCAAACCACCAGATGTTATTTTCCAGTAGGCAATAAAGTATTCAGCAAGGTTGATTTTTTCAATTTAAGATTTTCTTTCTTTCAAAAGGGAAACAGCTTTATTTTCCTCTTACATTTATAAAAATATTGCCTACTGATTATAAAATATCTGAGCCATACAGAAAGGTATAATGAAGAAAGAAATCACTTGAAATCTCCCTGTACAGTGACAACCTCAAGGTATGTAGGTTTTCCTTGATCCATGCTATCCTCACTCCCTTCCTATTATCTATTTATCTCCTATTTGTCTAAAAACAAGGCAACACATGCATGGAAAAAAATCTATAATTAGAGAATGACATAAAACAAAAAGCAAAGTTCCCTACTTCATTCTTTTCCATCCCTAAACCAGTTTCCCAGAGGTTAAATGTTTATGTTTTACTCATTTAATTCATTATACAGGTAATTCCAAATAACATGCTTTTACTGCTATTTTTAAAATTTTATCAATTTTGGATATTATTTGTTGACTCCAAGATGTAAAAAATAAGGATTTAGTTGGGTGCAGATGACATGAGCCTGAAATCCCTGCTGCTCAGGAGACCTAGGTGGGAGGATTGCTTGACCTCAGGAGTTAAAGGACAGCCTAGGCAACATAGCAAGACCCATCTCTAAAAATATTTTTTTTAATTAAAAAAAAAGAGTAAGGATTTAGTTCACTCATTTATTTTCTACTTTATTCCTTCCTACCAGGTTTAATAATCATATTATTACTTTGATTTCTATTTAAAACTTTCTAATTTTAAATATACTGAAATGGCTATTGTCTATTCCATCAACTGTCAAGTTTATCTCTTTACTTTTCATGTTAGTAAGATGATATTAACATCACTATTCAAACTTTCACCTTTCCTGGCCATTTGTCAAGTCTCACTTTCTGTAATTCTACAGTGTCAAGATTTATAACATTTATTTTTGTTCTGCATGTGTTCAAAATCAAGTGACCTTCATTAAACCCATATCTTCATTATATCCAACCTGTATAATATAATACAGGTTGGGCTAGTCCTTAGTAATGAGTTTATGATTTACCTTTTATTTTCTTAAAGGTATCTGTAGATAAGCAGACGTTTCTAATTTTGATAAAGTTCAATTTATCAGTTTTCTTCTTTCATGGTTAGTGCTTTTTACGTACCAAGAGATACTTGCCTACCCTATGACTACCCTGTATTTTTATATTCTTTATGCTTTCTTCTAGGAGCTTTATAATTTTGGCTCCTATTTTTAGGTTTATAGTTCACTTCTGATTAATTTTTAATATGTTGTGATGTACAGATCAGAATATACAGCTATCCAGTTGTTCTAGCATCATTTGCTGAAAAGATTTTCTTTTCCCCATTTAATTGCTGGTATCCCTGTCAATTTGCTGAATATATGGGAAGGTCTATTTCTAGATTCTGTATTCTGTTTAAGCCATCTATTTCTCTTTTCTTAAGCCAATAACATACTGTCTTAATTAATATAGCTTTATAGTAAGTTTTAGAATCAGGTAGCCCAAGTCCTCCAACTTTTTTCCTTTTTCAAGATTTTGGTTATCCTAGGTCCTTTATATTTGCATATAACATTTCATGTTAGATTATTAATTTCCATCAAAAAATCCCATTCTGAGTTATAAGTACATTGATCTTAAGATCACTTTGGGTAGAATGACAACTTTACAATATTGAGTCTTGCAACAATGTCCATGATATATTTCTCCATTTATTTAGGTCTTTCTTAATTTCTTTCTTTAACTTTGTAGTTTTCAAAGTAGAGGTTTTTTTTTTTTTACCTTTTCTTACATTTATTCTTCGTAATTTTTATGTTTGTTGACACTATTATAAAGGGTATTTATTTCTAAATGTTATTTTCCAGTTCATTGAAACAATATAGAAATACTTTGTATCCTATAGCCTTGTTGAATTCACTTACTAGAGTTAATAGACTTGGAGAATCACCTAGAGTCACGTTGATCATGTTGTCTGTGAATAAAGGCTGTTTCATTTCTGCTTTTCCAATCTTTACTCCTCATGTGCACATTTCTTTATATGTTATATCCATCTTTTCCTGTAGACATTTTAACATATTTGTCATAGTTATTTTAAAGTCTTTCTCTGCCAATTCTAACACCTAAGTCTTTGTTGGTCCCTTTATATTAACTATAAGTCACATTTTCCCACTTCTTCACATGTCTAGTAATTTTTTTATTGTTATGTTGTGGGTAATACAGTGTAGAAACTCTGGACCTTCCTCTGAAGAGTGCTGAGTTTTGTTTTAGCAGGCAGTTAAATTATAGAAGCCTCCTTCAACTTGGGGAGCCTTGGTTTTTCTTTTGTCAGGACAGGTCTATGTTTTGGTTTTGGTGCTCTTTTGATGTATATGTAGTCTTTATTCCTAACTAAATGGAAAGCCCAAGGCATTAACCAAACCCTTCTAACTTGGTTGGATTTAAACTCAATGTCTCTCTTACCTGTGGTGAACAGTTACAATCTCTTCTTAGTTCTTTAAATCTCCCAAGATGTCATCTTCTGCTGGGCTTCTTAGATTCTGCTGGCACAATCACAGTTGAGTCACTCAGTAAAGAATTTTCTTTTTACAGTAGCATTAAAAAAAAAACCCCAAAAACTAAGAAGTGAATTTTACCAAGTAAGTAAAACATATGTATACTAAAAACTGTAAAATATTGAAAGAAGTTGAGGATTACACAAATAAATAAAAAGATATTCCATGTTCATGGATTGGAAGAATTAAGATGCCATATCATGTAAAATGATATACAGATTCAGTACAATCCCTATCAAAATTCTAGTGTCACTTTTTATAGAAATAGAAAAAAAATCCTAAATTCATATAGAACCACAAAAGACCCTAAATACCCAAAGCAATCTTGAGCAAAAAGAACAAAGCTGGAGGCATCACATTACCTGATTTCAAAACATATTACAAATCTATAACAAACAAAACAGCATTGTACTGGCATAAAAACAGACACATTAACCAACAAAACAGAATAGAAAGTCCAGAAATAAACCTGCACATTTATGGTCAATTGATTTTTGACGAAGGTGCCAAGAACACACAATAGGAAAAGGGCAGCCTCTTCTATAAATGGTGTTGAGAAAACTAGATCTTCACATGCAGGAAAATGAAATTGGACCCTTATCTCACACCATATACGAAAATCAACTAAAAATTGATTAAAGTCTTGAATGTAAGACCCGAAGCTGTAAAATTGCTAAAAGAAACATATGAGGAAAGATCCATGATATTGGTCTGGGCAATGATTTCTTGGATATGATCCCAAAAGCATAGGCAACAAAAGCAAAAATGGACAAATGAAATTGCATCAAACTAAAAAGCTTCTACACAGCAAAGGGAACAATTAACAGAATGACAAGACAACCCACAGATTAGAACAAAATATTTCCTTTTTACTAGGAAGTATTTAATCATTAAAAATTTTAAAAATATATCATAAAAGCTAAGTACTATCCTTAAAATTTTAATAGGAGGCTCTACTATGAACATTTATTATATAAGCCTCTTTTTACAAATTGCTTGACTTTAAAGGAAATTTATTTTTAAAAATCACAAAATCTGTGAATCTATAGTGCTTTTTCTTTTTTTTTTTTTTTTGAGACAGAGTCTTGCTCTGTCACCCAGGTTGGAGTGCAGTGGCCTGGTTGCAGTGGCTCATTGCAACCTCAAACTCCTGGGCTTGAGTAATCCTCCTGCCTCAGCTTTCCAAGTAGCTGGGACTACATGCCTGTGCCACCACACACAGCTACTTTTTCTATTTTTTGTAGAGAATGGGCCTCACTATTTTGCTCAGGCTGGTCTTTAACTCCTGGCCTCAAACAATCCTCCCATCTCAGCCTCCCAAAGTGCTAGGATTACAGGCATGAACCACCATACCTGGCCAAACCTACAGTGTTTTGCTTCTAAATACTAACTGTCCTTTTATATATGTGACCAATTAAAATATTAGGGACTCACATCGTTTGTTTGATATTTCACTGAATTCAATTCAATTCAGTCTAATCATCAAATAAATATATGGGATTATGAACTTATAAATTAAACAATGCTTCTAGGAACTTTGCAGATTATTAAATATTATCTCACTTTGTGCCTATCTTTTTTATGGATTACATCAGAAGCTATTGATAGGAATAATACACTTGTAGTTAAGTAACCCATGCCTCTAGGCCATTACCCTTTCACTCTACACACAGATGCAATTTCAATTCTTCTGTATTTTCATTCTTTACCTGCTTTCTAGAATACCAAGTATGTCATGTGTTAAAAATGATCACCTCTTTGTCCAACTGCCTTCCTCTTGCTGCTCGTCAGAGAAAAGGATAACATCAAAAATGTTACTATAAGGAATCAACCTAGTTAGACAGCTCTTTCTTTTTCCATTCTTAATTTTTTTATACTTTAAATTTTTAGTCAAGGCATGCATAGACATAGTTTAAAGAGTTCACTAGGTCTTAAAGCAGCATTTTCCCTCTCCCTTACTACTCCTCTATTTCCTAATTCACAGAAGCAACCATTCTTTTTGCTATTAAAAGCTACCTGCCCATTTTTAAATAACATGATTTTATTATTGCATCTTGACTTTTGGATTTTAGGCATTATTTTGTGTCTTCTCCCTCCAGATGATGAGTATTTGGCATTTATTTTTGTTTTAAACCAATCATCCTGTTGCTTCCATCTCTATCCTCTAATCTATGTATTTTTTTCTCAGTTTTTAGGGTGATATTAGAGGATACCCAATGTCTCCGTCATCTGCTGCTACAGAGACCTGTTTTATGCTCTTCAGAGAAAGGCCTCCAGTCCTCTACTGAAGATGAAGAAGACTGTAGTTGACCCATAGTTTACAGTGCAAAAGGGGATGTGGGATCTAACTGCTTCGTCAACAGACTTCCAAGTAATTCTCTGTATTTAGCCCCACTTTCACTGCACTTTTTCATTTGCCATAGCCAAAGACTTATAATGATTTACTGTGGCCCTAACTGTGAAATTTTGGCTGTCAAAACAGAGTATTTGGATAAAAGTATTAGTAGCTTCTTTTTATGGAGTATCTGATTTGTACCAGGGTCATTATAAATATTATTTATAATTTTCAAAACCACCCTGAAACTACAAGTTATTATCATTCCCCATTGCATGGAATTGATGAATAATTTATCTGGAGTCACATAGCAAATAAGTAAATGGGTTTAGGATTTAAAATCAAGTCTGGATTGTTGGCACTAAAACTGATGCTCTTTTGGACATGTTCCACTGTTTTTGTTGGTTTTAGAAGAGGAATTAACCTTGTAAGTTATTGGCACAATTGAAATGTGTTAAATAATGCTTCTGTTCTGCACTTCATCTCATGATCATAAGGTGTGTTAAAACATAATTCTCATAGTGGCCTTGTATTTAGGGTGTAGCTGGAGCAGGCATTGAGAGTGGAGAGTGAGAGACCAAACATTATTGGAGTGAAGATTTGAAAAAGTTGATGATCCAGCAAATAGTAGGAAATGTTAATGAACTGTGAAGGGGAAAAGCTTGCAATTATATTTATATTCTCTATATTTAGGTTATGATGAAAAACCAAATGATGAAATAAAATATAGCTTTTTTCTGTTGTTATTAGTCTTTCTTGGTTGAGTTTTTTTTTTTCTTAATCTAGGAAATTAAATGAGTCTTCCCTGGAAACAGGATCCTAGATTAGATGATTTAAGAACTCAAGTTCAGCTTCTTCACAATTCAAAAATGTTTATCAATTAGGGCTGTTTTCCCATTCACAAATGTAGACTTCCTCTTCTACAATAACCAAATACTTTGATATTGTTATCATTTGTATCTCACACTTCCACTTTGTCCCCTGGACCAACACACACCCTATAATTACGAACTAATATTTACATATCACCTAATGTGTCTCAGAAACTGTTAGACATTAGTAGCACAAGTTATACCAAGGACTGCCCCACAAAACTTAGAGTTTAATGGAGAGCCACATCTTTAATAAGCAATTGAAACAAACTAATAAATAAACAATTGAAAGGACAGTGCCCACCATCCTTTCCAAACTTTTCCATATTTTATATATTAAAGAATGCATTTTATTAAAGAATTTATTTACCTATTGTATATTCATTTTATTAGAGAATATATTTTATCCATTTTATATTCAATGTCTACCTAAATTATCAGTCTCCCAGATTTTACTATCTTTAGTGTATCCTAGCATTGCTTCTCTTTGGTACATTTGATTTTCTCCTTTTCTAATTACAGCCTCTTTCCTTGTTATCTGCTTCCTTCCCCATTCCCCCAACCCCCACACTCTTGATTCTTAGTACAGTTAACCCTTGAACAACTCAGGGGTTAGGGGTACTCATCCCCAATGCATTACAAAATCTGTGTAAAATTTTTGAGTACCCCAAAACTTAACTACCAATAAACTACTGTTGACAGGAAGCCTTACAGATAACACAGTCAATTAACACATATTTTGTGTATTATATGTATTATACACTGTATTCTTATAATAAAGTAAGCTAGAGAAAATGTTATTAAGAAAAGCATAAGGAAGAGAAACTATATTTACTATTCATTAAGTGGAAGTGGATCATCATAAAGGTCTTCACATACACACAAAAAAGAAACAAAGAAAAATTAGGAACAATAGTAAGAGGAGTTAACAAAAAAAAGAAAAAAGAAAGATCTTTATCCTCACCATTGTCTTCATGTTGAATAGGCTGAGGAGGAGGAATAGGAGGCGCTGGTCTTGGTGTTTCAGGGATAGCAGAGGCAGAAGAACATTTGCATATAAGTGGACCTGCACAGTTCAAGCTTGTGTTGCTCAAGGGCCAGCTATAGTTCTTCTCTTCCAAATTCACCAAATGAGCACTCTTTTGACATTACTTGTCTTTTTCAGTCATCTCAGAAAAAGTGCTGTCTTTATTCCTTCAGGTTAATGCCTCTGTTTCTACCCTAAAAATGTTCCTGCTGCCTCATATATTATTCCCACTCTGCAGCTTCATTCCTGGACTGCCTCCATTGGCATATTCTCATTGTCTTCACATATACACTGGTTTCTTCCACTATTGAAAATTTTTTAGTTGACACAGACAACACGTGGAGCAACTTTTATCCTTTGTACCCAATTTTCATTTTCAGACAGCCAATCAATGTTTATCATACATAATTTTGATTTCCTTCTCAACATCTTTTTCTTTAGTCTCTTACATTTTCCTTCAAACCATTTCATCAAAACTCATTCGAGGGTGACTATTAATTTCTCACTAAATCCAGTGACCTTTCCCCATCCTTTTTCTTCTTGGCTTTGGCCTTCTTAACAATTATGTAGCATGTGGCCATCTTGTCCTTATAAAACACACTTACTGGTTAGCTTCTGTGATCTCTTTGGTCTCTGAACTTCCATAATCAATCGATTTAGTCAAAGGGCCACACTTGGGCATCTGGAGGGACACTTGTGGCCTTGAGGCTGCAGGTTCCCCACCCCTGTGTGACTTTTGTTCTCAATCTTCTTTTCCATTTTTGATTGACTCTGTGCTCTAGCTGTAGCCATTAACTCTGTTCCGATGAATCTCATCCTGCATTTTCTAAGTGTATCATGATATAAGTATGGCAAGGGTGGATCATACCTTGGAATTTCCCTAAGCAAATTTATATAGGTTTTTATAGGATTATTCTAAATGTTCAGTACTCTAACATATATTATAAATATCCAGGAAAGAACAGACATTTTTCAAATTTGTTTGTTCTCAGAGTCCTTTTTATGGAGCATCTTGTGTGAACAGTGTTTGAAGAACACATTTTGGAAAATACTGTTCAATATTTTAATTGCTAATGTCTCACCATAATTTAATTCTGTGCCAGCAACTGGGTGTGAGATATTTCTACTTGAATATTCTACTAACTCAGTATGTCTAGAACCACATCATCATCATCTTTCAAACCAATGTCTCCTCTCAACTTTCTTCTTTCCTTCAGTGTCACCACAGTTTTCTCACTTATCCCAAATTGAACCTCAGCATCATCTTTGGATTTTCTTTCTACATTTCCTTTACCCAATCTGTCATCTCTTAATTATTAATTAGCTATTTTTTAAAAATTTATGTGTACTGTCTCCTCCCTAGTCCAAGATCTCATACTCTAATACCTGGAAATCATTCTAAATGGCCCTGCTGTGTCAAGTTTTTCTCATACCAATTCATACCAAACATACTTTTGTTAAAATACTGATTTAATCACGTCTCTGTCCTGCTCAGAATCGTCAGCCAACTTCCAATTGCCTTTTGAATGAAGTCCGATCTATTAACTGAGACAGTTAAGGTTTTCCAGAACCACTTCCCCATTCTAGTTCCTTACTACTCCTCTAATTTTACTATTTACTCCAGCTAGATAGATCTCACTATTCTAAAAATGTAGAGGTTACTTCCAGCTCTGAACCATATATTGACCATTTGCCTTGCATTACTTCAGGCAGTATTTTAAAAATTTCATGAATTGCGAAATCAATTTTTCATGTGTATTTAAATGAAATTCTTTATTTTCATTAATTTGCTTAAAGATTACATCTGTATTAGAATTCTTTATTTTCTTCTCATAGGGAAGTAATTATCTTTGCATGATATTCTTACATTTTTAATTTAGTTATTTATTGCTATGTAACACATTACCTCAAACTTAATTGCTTAAAACAAAAAATTGCTTATTCGTTCATGATTCTGTGGATCAGGAAGTCAGGCAAGGATTGGCTAGTTTTTCTTCTCCATGAGGTGTCACGGTGTCAGCTAGGGTGATGGGATGGCTGGAGGTCTAAAATGGTCTCATATGGTGCCAGTTTTTGCTGGTTCCTGACTGGGCACTGAGCTGGAGATGTCATCAGGGACCTTGTTTTTTTTCCACATAGGTATCTTCATGTGGCTGTTTGGGCTTTCTCCCAGCATAATGGCTAAATTCACAGGAGGTGATTTATAAGGAGCAAAAATAGAAGATATATAACTTAATGCTGAGTTTCAGAAGTCACAAAGCATTATATCTACCATTGGTCAAAATTGATCCTATGGCTAGCCCAAATTCAATAGGCAGGAAATAGACTTCACCCTCCTAATGGGTGAGTTGCAAAGCCACCGTCTTAATCCTTTTTCCGTTGCAATGACATAAACTTGAGTATATACTGGAGATCATGTAATAATAATATCTAGAGATATTACTCTTTCCTTTTTAAAGCAGCAAAGTATTTCATTGTGTTGATGTGGGATGGTTTTATTTAACTCATCCTCTATAGATGAACATTTGGGTTGTTTCCAATCTATTACAAATAGTACTGCAGTGAATTCCTTGTGAACCTATCTTTTTGAATTTTTGCCAGTGTATCTATGGGGTAGATTCCTAGAAGTAGGATTGCTAATTATGTGTAATTTTGCTACATACTGGCAAATTCCCCTCTATAGGGGGTTGCAACATTTTGTATTTATATAAACAATGTATTAGGGTGGTTATTGCCTCACAGCTTTGTCAACAGAGTATTTTATCAAACTTTTGGATTTCCTCCAATCTGATAAGAAAGAAGTAATAGCTCAGTTTTAAGTTTTATATTATACTTCTATTATTATGCCTGAGGTTAAAGCCTTTTCTTATGTTTAAGATCCATATGAATTTCTTTTTCCTATGAGCTCTGTTCATATTTATAGCTCATTTTTCTGTAGGGTCACTTTTTTCTTTATTTAAGAAGCTTTTATATAGAGATATTAACCCTTTATCTGTGATATAGGTTCCAAAAAATTTTCCCAGTTAGTCATTTGTCTTTATTGTTAGCTACTTTTCTTGTCACATATAAAATTTTTATCTAATCAAATTTATTACTTTAATTGCTTCTGGAGTCAGTTTTTCCCATTTTCAGGTTATAGGAAAATTCCATTGTGTTTCTTTCTAGTACTTATATAACCATAAGGGTGCCTAGTTTAGTGGGTTATAACCAGCAGTTTTTAAAATAAAATAAAATGGAATAGAATAAAAAATAATAGCATGCATTGTACATAATAAAGTATTAAAAGAGCTTGAAAGTTGTCACTCGCATAATCATGACAAGAAAGAAAATACCTGAACAAACTGGAAACCAGCAATTACTGGATTCATCAGAGAACTGAGGTGAAAAGGCAAAGTACTGCCCCCAAAACTAGAGACAGACAGGTGGATATGGAGAGTCACAGTTTACCAGGAGCAGAAGGCCAACAGCAGAAGCTGGCAGCTGGAGCCAGCATTGGCAGCAACATTTTATACTATAATTGATGACTTGCTGGCTGCTCAGTGGAGACTAGTTTGAGTTAAAAATTCCAAGGGGCCAATATGAGGGGCACTCTCACACTTTTGTGAATTTTACCTCCAAGAGCCCTACCACATTGTCACTGTGAAGATAGGGATAAAAATCTCTCATGCAGGAAGAGGGGGAAAGCAACCATTTTGAAATACACCCAGAGTTCTCTGTTCCTCTTAACAAGGCCTACCTTCAAGGGAAACTATTTTACCAGAGCCTAATTGACTGGCTTTACCAAAGCATAACTTACCTGGGGTAAGGGAAATCGCAATTCAGGCTCAGTCTTTTAGACTGAAGCAATCATAAGACTATCAAATGTCTTCTCTTCTCCCACATGTATCACCACATTGGTAGTATTAGAATAAGTAGTCAATTAGACATGAGCAAGGGAGGAAGGAATGGAGGAGTCAGTCATTTGATTCAAGTAAACAGCCAGACCTCTGGTTATCTCCTGGCTAAAACAGGAACTGCTGTGAACACCAAGGATGGCCCAACACCTGCGCATGTGCAGCAGGACCCGAGTCACCTCAAGTAACCATTCCCTCATTTTACAGTAATTATAATAAATAAGCATTGTGGTTTTGACTCCCTTTGAGGGGAAAATAGGGGAATTATGGATAAAAACCAAGATGGCTGACAGGAAATTGACCATGTGAGGGAAAGGCCCAACTGAGAGACACCGACCACCCCACCTTCCCTGACCCCTTCCCACTGCAAAAAAGATAGGTGACACCTAGACTTTGGGACAGCTGCTCTTTTCCAGCCTGCCTAGTCCCCTTCCTGTGAGTGTGCTATCACTTTCACACAGCCTCTTTTCGAGCTAGCCTACTTGCCTTCTTGAGAGTGTACTTTTGCTTTAATAAACTTGCCGCTCTCACTCCTTTGACTTCATGTATGTGTCCTTGAATTCTTTCCTGCAACATCAGCAAGAACCTTCTAAACCAGTGATAGTAGGGTTCTTGTAGAATAATGGGGGATTACAGCTAACAGAACAACAAGGCTCAGACCCTACTGAAGGAGTCTATGAAAACCCGAAGACAACAGGGGAGAAAAAAGCAAAGACACTAAAGGAAATGCTAGCTAGCCTCTGACTCCACAAGTACAGTAAACAGTAAACATAGCCTAACTCCTAGTCAGATAAATATAAAATAAATATTGTGATATAACAATTTTATATGTTTAACATATATTCATGTAGATGTAGTTCTGAATGTTGTACTGGATTGGGACTTAAGATGTATTTCTTACCATGAATCACAATCAAAGAAGTTGAAAGCAATTAGGTTAGAGAATCTCTTGACTTTGCTCTCTCTAGAACCAAATGACACTAGTACCTACATACTCCTTACTCATTCACATAAAATAGCTTCTTCCATCCCACACATCAATAGCTCAAGAAGACATGGACAATATATGCTGCTTATTGTTAAAAGTTTTATTATTCTCATTAATACAATGGGGATCTCACAGTCTGGTACTTCTTAACCAGAACTTACTGAGACTCTTTAAATCAAGGTAAGTCTTTAAAGTGTCAGCAATGCTTCTATTTTTGCTGACTGTGATATCCACTGAGCTAGCAAAAGATGCCAATGAAGCTAGAGGTCCCATGACCCTAACAGACGTGCTTACCTTCATCCTTGTTGTGCTAGCCATTATCTCCATTTACAAGATTACGGCCTCTGAGGCATGCAGAAATTTTCAAGTATAAATATGTCACATAACTTTTACTTCCTTTAGCACTAAGCCTCTCAGTAATTTAGTCTCCTTAAAATACTAATGTACTTACTCTCTTGTATTGCTTAGCTATATCTATAACTCTGTTTTAGCTCTTAGATCTCACTTAAATCTCTTCAACCTGTAAGATCAAACTCCTCTTAAGTCAAACTCCCCTATGAGATTTTAAAGATTCTCACCTAGCCCTCCTTTTATTTATCTTGGTCTCCAAATGTCCAAAGAAGTTTATTTTCTGAACCATTCTTTTTAACACAAAAATCATTTACCACCATGATTTATTACTTAATTATATTTCATAAGAGTGAATCTTGATACATCTGCTAAATTATAAGCTCCTGGAGTAGATAGTCATTTCTTTTCTACTTTCTCTCAGTAGTCAACAGACTGGCATATAGAAGGCATTCAATAAATATTTATTCCACAAATGGATTTAGGAATGACTCAATACATCAATCTTTTTTAAGAAGGACATTTATCTTGTGGGGGGAGGGGGGGAAGGGCATTTATTGAAACCTTAAAATCTGTACCCCCATAATATGCCGAAATAAAAAAAAAAGGACATTTATGGGCATATTAATATCTTTTCATTTCCATTGTTTTTATGAATATGATGAATTATTTACAAGTTCACAAAACTAACAATCTATGAGATAGAACCATGACTTTCTAGAATTTTAAAATAACTTTGATAGTATTAGTTCTCACAATTTCAAAAAATTTAGAAAGATGAATAATGATATAAGTCAGCTCTGTAGTCAGATGATAGATCTTCCTAAGTAAGACTATTTAGACACCTCCCTCTGCATGCAGACCTTATAATTAGCTCCTGAACTCATAATTCCCTGGCGTTTTGCCATAACATTCATCAATTCAGTTCTTCTTTCAGTGATGAATGGATGTCATTAAAAATATATTTCTAAGTAAATCTCTTTTGTCTTTTTTTCCACCTAAAAAGTAAGTTTTACTATAGAATGAGAAAAATTCAAGTAACAAACAATATATAATGGAGTTTCATGCTAAGTACAAGTTCTTATTACCATGTCGGCATACGTGTGCAACATTAAACAGTCAATGTCTCAAGCATTCAACTTTGGCCATTCCTTTTTTAAATCTGCAGGGCTCTTCCTTAAGTATCTTTGGCATTTCTTTTAGATTTTGGGGCCCATAGATACTTCATGGTTAGTTGAGTTTTTCTATTTTTCGTTTTTTGTTCTTTGGGAAAGGAAAGATGTCTGAGTAGCCCATCAAAATTCCTTCTATTACACTAAATCTGAGGTTACTCCTTTTGACTTAGGGTTGAAACTACTGTCCAAGTAGCCAAATAACTAAGCAACTCAACTAGTATCTCTATAAATTCCACCTGTATGTGATTCTGATTAAGAATGCAGTTATGGCCATCAAATTGGTACTGACAGCCTAAAACTATGGTGTTCAAATAATTGTAGTGTTCAACAGGGATCTGAAGGGGGGAGACCCACATCTTAAGAATGTGATGAGCATTGTAGGGGGGAAAGGATTACCTCTATCCCTTCTTAGGAAGAGGCAAAGAAACACACTGTAACCAAAATGTCTAAAAATTTTTTTTTTGTTAATGGGAGGTGAACAAGTGGAAGGGGGGAGAAGGAAAAGGGTACGCACTTTCATGGTGGGTACAGGGCGTACCTCTTAAAGACTGGACACACTTGAAGCTTTGGCAGAGCGCGATGGGGAGGGGGACAGGGGCAAGATATGTAACCCTAACAATATTTGTACCCACAGAATTTGGGAAAAAAAATAATGCAGTTATGTACATTCAGACCCTTACCTGGTTTTTCTATATAAACTAAGCATTTTTATAGATACCATAATTCTTCCTTCTTCATTTTCAACAATAAATTCATTCAGAACTTGTTTTAGCCAGCTTTTTCTGTAGAAATAAACAACCTCAATATTTCTGTGGCTTATAACAACAAATATGTATTACTTGCTCAAGTTCACGAGGGTGGTGGCCCTGCTGGATTTAGCTGAGCTTGGTTGAGTTAGACCTTGGCTTCATGACAAGTATCTTTTTCACTGCATAGCCCAAGCTGAAGGAGTAAGCCACTGTCTTGGACATGCTGTTCTCATTCTGGAGGGTAAAAAAAAAAAGAGAGTGAGTACTAAGCTGAGTGAAATATGCAATCACATTTAAAGCTTCTACTTTGATGTTCTATTGGCCAAGTAAAGTAATATGACCTAGACCAAAGTCAGTGGTATAGGAAAGTAGACTCTACTCACATAGAAGCATGGCAAAGGTATGAAGGAAATGAGTATTTGTGACATAGTGAAATCTACCCCAGCCTTCCCTCTTCTTCACAAATGTCCACTTCCTTCCTATATACAAAATATAATCACTGCATCCTAAAGATCCAAACTCACATCCAATCACAGCATCTAACTTGAAATTCAGGATCTTGATTATACCTCACACCCAAATATAGCTCTTCTGGAGCCAAAATTCTATGAACAAAAAGACTAGTTATTTGCACTCCACACACACAACACAAAATGAGGAAACCCACAATAAACTTGCATTTAGAAACAGGAAGAATGGGAGAACCCAGCAATCACTGGTCCACAGCAATTCTGGAATCCCATTGAGCAATTGTTTTAAGGTCTACTAAGCTGAGGGTAGGAAACGTTGCTTCATCAGTCCTCAGTTTTGTGTCTTGGTGCTAGGTCTCCAGTCCATTGTTCTTCATGGCTCTTGGCATCACCTTCTGGAGGTCCTTCCTTTTCCAATATTACCTTTAGGAGAAAACGCCCTTCTTAGCAGATGAACAGCAATTCAGTCTGCTGGTAGAAAGTTAAGGGGTTGAGGGTAATTTTACTGCTCAAACCATCATAAGCTCTTTAATTCCAACTGATGGAACACTGGGTAGTACAAATCTTTTAAAAACATTGTTGGTTTCTTTGATATCATTGTTTCCGGTTAGCTCTTCCTGCCAATAGCCAGATTCATAGTTAGAAAACATTCCTCTAAGCTTATTAACAGGTAATTTGCACTCTTTTGGCTTCCATTGGCCAAATCTATGTTCTCTTTACCCTGAGCCATATTTTATAAGTGAAATGATTTACTTGTGAGTGACTAAAGAAATCAGAAGTCTTAACTAATAGTGTGGTGATCACAGTCTTTATTTTTCATCTCTAAGACAAAGTCTTTATTATTATTAATATTATTATTAATTGAGTACACTTTTACTTGATAAGATGAAAATATTAACTCTTCATATAATGAGGGATGCTAAAAACATTTTTATAGGTACTTTACAATATGAATTTTTCTCAATAGCTCTTGTTTTCTGATCTTTAAAATGGGCTTCTAAATGATAAAAGATTAATAAAATAGATAAAAGTTTCTCCTTCTCCCATTTATCTCCTTTAAAATCTCTTTGAAATTATCCTTAAAATTGCCCACATGTTACTGTGATACTTGCATATTGAGAATTTGCTCAAGTTGCTAAATTTCTGATGTGCTTTGAATTCAGTAAAATTAATTATAATTATTCTATGTAAGGAAATGTACACACAACTAGAAAACAACTAGCCATGCCTGTCTTGGTCTTTGCACTGAAGTGTTGTTTTAATTTGAAAATATTAATATTTCTATGACTGAAGGTAAGAAACAGTTGCATCTTTCAATCTTATCTCTGTATTTCTGGATTTTCCTTTCTCATTTGCAAACAGGCCAACTTTTTTCTCAGCTTATCTCTTTCTTGTAGTGCCTAAAAAAGCAATTTTGGGCTATCAACATTCTGTCTTGAAAATTCTTTTTTTTTTGACAGAGTCTCACTCTGTTGCCCAGGCTAGAGTGCTGTGGCATCAGCCTAGATCACAGCAACCTCAAACTCCTGGGCTCAAGCGATCCTCCTGCCTCAGCCTCCCCAGTAGCTGGGACTACAGGTATGCACCACCATGCCGGGCTAATTTTTTCTATATATTTTTAGTTGGCCAATTAATTTCTTTCTATTTGTAGTAGAGATGGGGTCTCGCTCTTGCTCAGGCTGGTCTCGAACTCCTGAGCTCAAATGACCCGCCCACCTCGGCCTCCCAGAGTGCTAGGATTACAGGTGTGAGCCAGGGCGCCTGGCCTGTCTTGAAAATTCTTGGCCTAAGTCACAAGTTTATTATGTGTATTTTCAAGTTATCTCAGGTGACGTTTTAACCAAAATTTTCACCACTGCATAATACAGGTATAGAGTGTCATTTTTCCAGCCTTATGAAGCATAAGGGCTCTTATTAACAGGCACAGTGCAAATACTACATATTTTAGTTTCATTGTTTTTTGTTACAGTAGCACTTTAATTCTAGGTACTAATTTCTTTATTAGTCAACTTCCGTTGTGGTGGCAACAAACAATCCCCAAATCTCAGCAATTTACAACAAACAGTTCTTTGTTGCTCATGTTGCGGGGCTTTTCTGGGCTCAGCTTGTATCATGTGTCTTCACTATTTGAACTAAGCAGTCTGAGGAGTTGCCACTATTGATTGGAAACATGCTTTTCTGACTATGGAAGGCAGGAAGAAGAGGAGGAATGTCTAACCATGCAAGTACATTTAAAGCTTCTGCCCAGGTACACAGCAGAAGCACATATCTGCTTCAAAACCCATTTGTTAGAACAAACCACATGGCTACACTCAAAGTTAGTGGGAGAAGGAAGCATATGCTGACCACAGGACAGGAAGGAAAAGAATAACTATGAGCAAAAAATAAAATATACTGTAACAAACACTGAAAAGCAACTGTGTTCCTTCCAGTTCTAAAGATACTCTAGGCTGAGTGGGGTGGCTTACTCCTACAATCCCAGCACTTTGGGAGGCCAATGTGGGAGGACTGCTTGAGGCCAGGAGTTTAAGACCAGCCTGGGCAACATAGCAAGACCCTGTCTCTACAAAAAAAATTTAAAAATTATATGGCCATGGTGGTGAGTGCCTATAGTCCTAGCTACTCAGGAGTCTGAGGTGGGAGGATTGCCTGAGCCCAAGAGTTTGAGGTTGCAGTGAGCTATGATTAGGCCACTGCACTTCAGCCTGAGTGACAGAGTAAGACACTATCTCTTAAAAAAAAAAATACCCTATAAGTAAAACAGTGTCTCTGATCTCAGAAAACTCAGGATTGTGGTGGAGAATTCAGCTAAGCAAAGAGGCAATTGCAATATAATATGAAACATATACAGGAACCTGTGCCACCTAACTTAGAACTGAGAAAGCAGGGAAAGCTTCCTGGAGGAAGTAGTAACTGAACTGAGACCTGAATGGTGAAGATGAATTGGACACGTAAAAGGTATTGAAGAACAGTGGGCAGAAAGATGATTCCCAGTAGCTCAGCATGAGCAAAACCTGAGGATAAGAGGGAGTGTGGCTAAGCCAAAAATATTTCAATACAGTTGCTGTGCAAAGACCAGCGCTGTCAAGTGCACAAAACAATGTTTAATATTTTGTATTCAGAAGATAAATGTTGGGTTTAAAGCCATGGAGTCATGAATCCCATAAATAGGCTCATGGTGGTGTACTACTATACACTGAAAACTGAAAAGGAAAACAAAACAAAACAAAACCCTGTGCCTTTCAGAGATAGAATATCCCAGAGAGCATGGTGATTTACACTTCTTACAGAGTCAGGGTGAAAAGCAGAGTGTTTTATTAAAATACCTTATAACCTGGCACTTTTCTCCAGCATGCATTGTTGGAGAAATCTTCAGTGTTGAAAATAGAGTTGAATGCTGTTAATGCAATTATTTTAGCATCAAGGGCAACCACTAGCACAAGAAAAATTGCCTTGAAGTGTATTAGTTTATATATCTGATCAGAAAACACAGTTACCATTCAACAATTAACTACATTAACTAGATTTTGGAAAAAACAGAAATTGAAATGCAGTTTTACTATATCACTTTTCAAGGGCATGGCTTTGTGTTTGGTCTAAGCAGAGTGAAGGAACTTCAGAACATCTGTGTTTTGTGTCTTAGCACAGTGCACTGTCCGGTAGAAGAGTCCAACACATTTACAACATGGATAGGCCTAACTGTCCCTTTGAAACGGGAAGCTGAGAAATGTTCACATGCTGATAACAAGCATAGAGAATAACACTCTGCGTGAGTTTGTACTCATTATACATGTATTTTGAAAGGACAAATCTTTTAAGCACCTATAAACTGCTTTCAAACAGGATCTAGCAAAATATGGCTTTGCAAAGTAGGCCCGGATATGGAATTTTAAAATATTCACCTTTAAGATACTCTTCTCACTTGCCTTAAGTGCTTGTGTCATTCTGTTGCCCTATCTCTATAAAGACTAGTTATATGAAAAAAATTTAAAAACAAAAACAAAAATTTAAAAAGCATCATCAGGAGAGATCAAATGTTGATATAGTATTAATATATAACATGTGATATTTCTGTCACCAAAAACATTGGACACATGATACATTTGCACCTCAACTTCCCATTGCATGTCACATCGTTGCTGGAATCTGCATCTCTGATCTTGTCCTAGGCAAAAGCACAGAAAAGGCAAAATGCGTCTTTGGTGCCTTCCATTCATCCAGAATCCCCTTGCTCTTGCTACCCTCTTCTTCTCCACCCTCTTATTAACCTATAGTTGTTAAACATTTAGTTGTTTAGCTAAACTTTGGACACTGTGCTAGTAAATGTATACATCATATAACTGAAAGGGCACGTTTCTTTCATCTTACAGATGAGGAAACTGAGATAACTCAAATGTTAATTTTCTCAAGCCTATAAAGCTGGTAAAGTGGTAGAAGCAAGATTTAAAACAGATCTTCCCCACTTTAAGAAAATCTGTAGTCTGACAACTCCACAACACAAAATTATGTTAGCATAATTTAAATTATGTTAGCATAACATAATTAATAGCATATTTAATAGCATAATTAATTAGCATAACATAATTTAAATGTTAGCATAATTAGCATAATTTAAATCTTTAACTAAAAAGAAAAGACTAAAGAATATCAGTGAGTTATATTAATAGCAGACATGTGCATGCAGGTTTTTATTTTTCCTATTTGAACACCCAGGATGTTGGTAATGGAGGGTAGTGTATTAATCCAATTTATATGAATTTTAAA